CTGAGCACAGGGCCACCAAGGGGAGTTCAGAGGAAACACAAACCTCTAGGATACTGGGTTCCACAACTTTGCTGCCTTCTGCATTTAGGTAAACTCTACATGTTTGATCACTACTGTCCTGTGATTAAAACTTCCAAAAAGTGGACCTGCAATCCAAAATCTATAAAAATTCCAAAAATCATTTGTGCATAATTATGTGTTTTATATTTGTGCCTAATTATATATTGATTCATATTATTCATCTTAAACAACCTTGCCTTCTGGACATGATTTCATAACTATGCACATTTATTTTATGCAAATCAGCTCTTACAATGGCCTTTAGATATATGTGTCCAGGTGACTGACCAAATGGCAAGAATAAAGGAGAAATATTATGAAAATTGTTGGCAGTTTAGAATCTTCCATTTGCAACAATTCAAAATGATTTCTTACGTACTATCTCATTCCCAGCCCAGTGACAAGCCCATGAGGTTAATAAATTAATAATCATCATAAGTCAGAGTGTATGCATTTAGGAATAATTGAGGTACTTTCACTTAACAAATGTTTCCCTCTCTCCACATTCCCACAAGTATCATTTTAAGTTTGACCTTGCTGTTGTTTCAGTTTGTCCCCAAAAGTTCAAGTGTTGGAATTTAAATTCCTCAGTGCACCAGTGTTAGGAGGTGAGGGCTAGTGGGAGGTAGTTGAGTCATGGAGACAGAGCACTCATGAGTGGATTAATGCCTTTCTTTGGATACTCTGTATGCTTTCTTTGGATACATTCTCATGAGACTGATTAGTTACCCCAAGAGCAGGTTGTTCTAAATAAGGTCACCTTTGGTATTTTGCCTCTTCTGTGTGTGTCTATTTGCCCTTCTGCTTTCCACCACAGATTAAAGCAATACAAGGCTCTCATCAGAAACTGAGTAGATGCCAGCACCATATCCTTTGACTACCCAGCCTCCAAATTCAAGAACCAAACTAAACCTCTTATAAAGTACCCAGTCTCAGTATTTCAATTTAGCAACAGAAAACAGACTAAAAAAGACCCATCCTCATCTCTGACATACATTCCTCCTTCCTCTCCAACCTATCCCACACACAATGCTCTCAGTATCATCTAAACACAGATCTGATTACTTCCCTCCCCTACTCAGGAATTCACCTTCCCACTCTGTACCTAGTGCTTTATCAAGCACCTATTGACTAGAGCAAACCACAGTGGGTAAATCAATTCCTTTGAAGACTCTTGTTTGTCCTCAAAACATATGCACATTTTTTTACTGTAATCTATAATTTACACTTGTTACATTTAATAAAAATGTCACAGTTTAGATTGTTTTCATTTCTAGGAAAACATGCTACAGCAAGCTGGTCTTTCAGCTTCATGAAATGCTTGGCATGCCACTTCCTCCTGTTCTCTTAGGTACCCAGACTAGAGCGCAGTGTGAACTCTGCAGAAGCATTCAAGACACCTCACATATTAACACTTCTACCAAAGAAAAATCATAACTTCCATCTTGCTAGGTGTTTTCTCTAACACAAAATAAAAGGATCAGTAAAACTGTCAGTAACCAGGTATCCCTCTTTTAGAACTTCTCAAAACTCAGCACCACATAAAAATAAATAAATAAAGGTATCATGTCCAACTACAATAAATAAGACCACCCAGGAATCAGGAGCCCACCTTGTTGAAATGTGTGCCTCCTTCACTGCATTTTTCCTCTCTCTGTTCTCATTACCTGGAAAGCCATTCCTACTTTCTCCAACTGGCAAACTCCACTCACCTTTAGAAAGCCAGTCACTTCCTTTTTGAAACCATTTTCAGCCACTATAGTTGGAAATAATTGTTTTCCTTATGAAGATCTGCAGCACTTGGTATATTATGTTAAATTTCATCAATATAGTAAGCTTGGATTTACTTTTTTAGTATCTCAAGCTAGATAATGAGATCACTGAAAATAGAAATTATCTCTTGCTCATCTGTAAATTAACAGAATCTAGCAAAGTTCATATTATTAGCCCAATAAATGTGTAGAATAAATTGACAAAAGAATAAATGATCTTTAATGAAAATAAAATATGTAAAAACATACGCCATTTCCCTAGCTCTCTAAGAATTCCTTGCCGACAAAAAGTGGAACAATAATAGGGCGGGGCGGGGGGAAATGACTATGGTCTAGAATAGCCCAGTGAGATGGGTAAATGACCCCTAGAGTTGAATTTGTAAAGAGAATCCTTATCAGCCAAGATTTTGCCACATAATTCCCTTATGAGGACCATAGTGTCTCTGTCCAGGGTGCTGAGATTTCAGCTGGAAAAACCTGATTTTGTTTCTTAACAAGGCAGAGCCAAGCAGAACTAGAATACAAATAATTACATATTTCCTTGTCTCATATAGAGACTTCTTTCTCATCCAGGATGTTAGGACAATCATATTCAATTTGTTACAGTTCATTCAGTTTGAGTAGATTATGCTGACTTTGTTCCACAAAATAAGTTACCCAGTCCAAAGGAGGCTGCAGATTTAGAAAGAAGGACCTGTGAGTTAGATGTGGGTTTTCCTCACTACCCTTTCTCTAATCACTGTGTGACCTTAGGAAGGCTACCACACCTTTCTAGGCATGGACTTCCTGCCCTGTAAATACTTCTGTGATTAAGATAGAGCAAATCTTCAGTGAATCATGTGTGTCAAGAACTTTCACTTTTTTAATCCTCTCAAAATCCTGTGAAATGGATATTATTATTCTCATTTTACACATGAGAAAACAGGGCTTATAAAGCTAAAGTACTTTTCTCAAGGCCACTCCACAAACATGCAGCATTGCCTGGTTGGGAAGTTCAATCCATTCACAGCTAGATCCACGGCCAAGGTGACTTTAAGACTTTCTCCGATTGCCCCTTCCATGACCTCTAGCTGCTGATGGTCATCTTCATATGTTTTATAACACTGGAATGGTCAGGGTACACAGTGCTTATGATTTTTTATTTTAACTTTTAAAAAAAATGACAATTTTTAGAATTTTTCTCATCATTAATGCTAACTACGCTTTCACTTCTTCTAAGGTCAAATGCCTCATATTAATCACATTCCTCAAAGAGTCTCTTACAGAGGCAGGGATACCCAGGATAAAAAGCTTATAGCTTCTCTGTGAGTGAGCAGTCTCCCATAGCCTTGGAAGGCCTGCTTCACTTGCTCACACATGTTCCTCAGCAAAGTAGCTGCTACACCATCACATCCTATCCAGACAGCATGAGGGCAACCCCATAAAAGGCTGCTGTGGAACATACAGTGAGGTAGCCTGGCCAGAGCAGATCCTGAGCAAGTAGAGAAAGGGGGACTGACTTCCCTTTCTCACCCTATCATGTACCATTTGTGGAGTATACTAGCTCAACTGCCTGGCCCTTCCTCATGTCATTTTTCTATGAAAATGACTACAGAATGTGCACAGTGTGGGGTCTCTTAAAGTTATCTCCACATTCTTAAACTACTCACAATAACCCATGAATTGCTAAAATATCCATTCTATTTACAGGAAAGTCAAGACTCAGGAGACTCAAGAAATTTACCTAAAATCAACAACCCAGAGACCAACAAAGCCCAAAGGCACCAAAATCCCAAGAACAAATCCTGAGCTCCTTAAAGTAACACAGGAGCTGTTTTATAAAGCAGTACATCTTACAAATGCCCTGGAGTCTCTATGCCTCTTCCACCCCAAATCCTCTGCACCTCCATTGCCCTGTGACCTAGAACTACTTTTTCAGTTTGTTTCCCTAACTTGAAATCCCTATCCTCTCTCCTTCCCTGTAGCCTGTGCTCCATAAACAGCAACTAACTCATAAACCAGTAATCCAGGTGACAGTAGCTATCTTCCCCTACATCTCTCAAGATAACTTTTCCACATCATCACACATACATTCAATATCTAAAACAGGATTCTTTCTGTAGGAAGAAGTACACATTTGACACACATGTAATATCAGAAGGAAGTCATTTGTCACTGCAATTTTAACTAGATTAAATGACAAACACGTATCAGCATGGCCATGTGGGTAACTATTTGCAGGATTATGAAATGTCACTATCATCTTATGCCACTCTTCCTGAAACCTTCTGGTGGCTTTTAGCACTTTCTACCTGGAGTTGTGGCTAACTTGCACACCTCTTTGTTATGGCATCATTTCCTCTCCATGAATATCATTATTCCTTTGCCCCACCCTACCCTAATCCAGGCACTCCAGAACAGAATCCGATGCCTTGTGTGGACCAGACATGCAAACCCATTCATAATGAATCAAACATTTTGCAAAAGTATCAGTACTCTATGAAGGATATACCAATGCATATTGAATATTCAAAGCAGTCTAGAAGAAAAAACAAGAGGACAGTGCACAGATTTGCCAAGTGAAATGGGCACTGGTAAGGCTGCAAAGCAAGAGTTCAATAAGAGCTGGAAGCAGCTGCCTGAAGGGACAGACAAGTGGATCTCTGGTGTGGAGCCTTGAGTTCTCCGAGGAAGACTGCCAGAGGAAGATCCACCAGAAAGGTAAAAAAAAAAAAAAAAAAAAAATCTCCATTACTCAAATGGGAGGGGAGTCCAAACATCCACAGCTCGCCCTATGACAAACCTACACACTAGTAGCAGCAGAAAAGCCTAGAACTGATTAAATTGACACCGAATGAGACCATTCGCACACTGTTCTTGCTACTGATTCCTAACATGGAATACTTTCGCCCTGAGTTTCTAAGCTGAGGGAAAGGTGAGACCCAAAGTACTCATGCACAGGTGGCCTGGGCGATGAAAAAAAAGCTTCACCCGGTCCCTCCACAACAGGCGGGGAGACCAAGGTAGCCCGAGGCAAACTGGAGTCCTGGTCAGACTGCGGGCCGCCTCGTCCGCGACCAGCTAGGAAGTCCGGGCCAAGCTACACTGCTTGGCAGTCCCTGTGCTGCCACAGCCCCTAGGAGTTGGCGGCAGGGAGACGGCATCCCTGCAGCCGGCGCTGGGACTCACCACGTCCATGATCTGCAGAAGGCTTAGAGAGAAGTAGACTGTGAGCGGCTGGGAGTCGTTGGCTACCGGCCTCTCCAACGGGTTGTAGTTCTTGACCAGCTCCTTGTAGAGCTTCCTCTGGAACTCGCCTTGCAGGGACACTTACGAAGAAAAGAGCACCGGCAAGCTGCTCAGGAAAGGCCAGCGGAGAGATCCCCCACGTCCCCCCACCCCTTCCTTTTCCCTCCTGCCCCGCTGCTCGCGACCCCTGCCGCTCAACCATGCAGCCCAGAACTGCAGCCCCGGCAGCGCCCTGCTGCCCCTCTCTGGCGGGGATACCCAACCTGGCCCCCGAGCGGAGCGCAAAGAGCCGCCCGGGATCCCGCGGAAGAGTGGAGGACAGGAAGACGCGTCGGCTTTACCTTGCAGGAGCGACGCGACCAGCGCCAGCCAGACACCTCCCCTGGTGCCGCGCATGTTGGGTCCCAGAGCTGCCGCGAGCCGGCGCGCCGCCGTCTCGGCTGTCAGCCGGGGCCTGCGCCTGCGGCCGCGGAGCCACCTCTCCCGCTTGGCTCGCACGCCTTTAAAGAGCCGAGCGCGCCCCCGCCTCGCCCGCCCCCGCGCGCCTCTCCACGTGATGAGCCCCGCCCCCGGCCTCCTCCCCGCCTGCCCTCGGGGGAGGGCCGGGCGTTTTCCTGGCTACCTCCGGAACTGCTGCGCCCGGGTGAAAGTGCTAGCACTTACAGCTGCTTTCGCTCTGGGTACCCCCATCCTAGTTTCCACTAAGCGGTCCCCGCATCACGCCTCGGGCGGGGGCTCTCCAACACAGGGTTCTGTTCTTTGCGTTCTTTGCCCTCTCTCTGCGCCCTCCTGCTCTCAACCAGAAGCAGCATCCGACCACTTCGAGAAAGTCGGAAAAATTCTCGGATCCAAGTCTCCCTCCTCCATATCAGCGTCTAGGTGGCAGCGACCCGGAACCAGGCTTAGGAAAGTCTCTCTATAGATCAAAGAGGAAGCCCTCTCCAACATCCCTTAAGCCCCCGGTATTCTTTTAGCAACCATTCCCTGGACATCACCAGCTGGATTCTGGGCTGGGTTCTGGATGTGCGGAAGGCAATCTACAGAAAAAGAGAGGAGATGCAAATGTATGTTTTGAGGTTCTCATTAGATAGCTTGATTTATTTCCATTCGCCTTTAAAAGAGATTCAGAATATTGAAAAGTTAACTCCAACTCCTGTTGGACTGACAACCAAAACTTGGTGGTATTATTTAGGCCTTTTGGGGTCCCAGGTGGGATTAATAGGCAAAGAAGTTACAGCGAAGACAGCCGTAGAGATCTGGGCCGGGGAGAGTCCTGAATGTTGAGGAGGGGGAGGAGGTGTGGTTCTGAAAAGATATGAAAAGGGGCTGGAAGAGAGGTACTAGGGAGGGGCTTGGAGAGCTCTGGTAGTCTCTGTCCTTCTGCTCCCAGAAACAGGTTACAGAGAAACAAATACTCGGGGTTTCCTGCGCCCCTATAGGGGGCGCTATCGTCCGCTGTCCAGTAGACCTCAGCTCATCTAAACCGCCCCAATTCAACAACTGTGGAGGAGGCAACAGCAACAATGTTCGCGCGTTTCTGAACTAAGACAGGGGATTTTAGAGTGACACTAAGAACTAGGGAAAGGCTCACAAAAAAGTAACTGAGTTTAAAGTAGTAGTAGGAATGGTGTACTGACCCCCATAATTTCAAGGAAATACATTGTCCTTGCAATGAGGTTTCTTGAAGAAAATTTTTGTTTGTTAACTGATACATGTATACACACGACAGTATAGGCTTTAACTGCTCTAAGGCCCCAGAAGAAGGAAGACTGATTCTTTCATGGAAGCATTCATAGAAGAGGAGACAACTGACCAGGTCTTTCAAAGAGCATGTGTTGTGCCAAGGAAAGAAAACAACAGACAGGTGTGGCATCTGCCTCCCCAAACCCCCTAATCCCCGACCCTAGGCATTCCCAAAGGAATGAGCTGCAAGATAAAACCTTCTGACAAAGGCAATATTAGACAAGGAAGTTAAAACCCAACAACAGAATAGAGAAAGCTCAGAGACATCAACTGGAAGATCTTCACTCGCACATCACCTCATGTGAGTGCAACTTATTCTCTGCACACATCTTGCAAGGTCTAAGGGCCCTGCCTTCCACCGTAAAGGAACATGAGCCCAGAGAAATTAATTCCCAAACAGAAATGATTCCTTACCATGGTGGCACCCCATTATGTCAGAAACTATAATTAGAACCATAATATTAGAAATATGTAAAATTAGAAACTATAATATTAGAAATAAACCCTTTTAAAGTGGATCAACTGGTCAATAAACATTTATGCCCTGTACTTTGCTAGGAACCTGAAGGACCCACAAGCACAATCCACTCAATTTACACTTTAGAATGATGTGAGTATAGAAAAATTTTATTCACCATCATGCCAATAAGTAAGCCTGTGAGCTTTACTATATTCAGCCCTGTCTCTAGGATTCAGTTTTGCCTTGTTTTGTTTTAATTGGTAAAGTGAAGAAAGGAGTAGGAAATCCTGAGAGGAGAGCAGTGGGGCTACTCAGGCTCCACCCTCACTCCCATTCCCAGCATAAAGAAATGGTAAAGAAAACAGAAAATTAATACATACCTGAGCTTCTATAAACAGGGGTCAGAAACATATTCCAAATAGTTACTAACAAACTGATATTGCTATGATAACCCTAGGAAGAGGTAAACCAAAGATACGTTTTCAAGGATTAGACTCTGAAATTTTAACACACTCCAGGAAGACAACCAGAACTTGGACGTATGAAAGATGGGGCACTGGAATAAAGATATTCACATAAATCCAGAGCCTGAGAAAAATTTCCTGTTCCACGTAAGAGAAACCAGAAAACCTCAACCATTTTTGAGGGAATTTGGGGAAAACATATTTTCTTCTTGAACTCGCATTAGTAGAAAGAAGTTACTCCAAAGTGTGTTAGGTTTAGGTGTGAAGTACAAATGTGTACTACCCACCCAGTTTAGGATTCAAGGATTCCTCTGGAGGAAGACTTCCATAACTTCACAAACAGAACTCCAAAAGAAAGTCACAGTATTCATGAGACTGAGTTCAAAATAAAAAAAACAAAGCATTCAAGGAAACAGACTACACATGATAGGGAGACATAGTCAACAGGAAGGGAAAGTCCATAGGCAGAAAATCTATACCCACCAATGGAGATAATAGGACAATCATGGGGGGAAAAAACTATGAAATTAGTATGTTTAAAATGCTTAAGTTTTTGATCTTGGTGGATAATGTCAGCTGCAATAATAATCTGCAATTTCCATTGGCTTAACTATCAAAGTTTATTTCTCCCTCTCATCACAGTTGAAGAATTCAAGTGACATTCTTGAATGTCTGCCCTCCTCCCACCTAGGTCTTTCAGGAATGCAAGATTCCTTCATCAACCAGAGAGTGAAAATAAGGCAAGAGCCAAATTGAAAGAGTAAATTTAAAAATTTTTTCAATATTAATGAAAAATAACAAACCACTGTTTCCCTTAATTATGGATTTGACTACTGCTGAATTTAATTCATTAATAGATTTTAAAGGAATTTTCCATCTATATCAGTGAAGGATATTACTCTATAATTTCCAATTCTTGTGGTTATTGTTCAATTTTGGTAGAAGAATTATGAGAGCTACACAAACTAAATTGGTAAATGTGTCCTTCTCCTCTATTTTTATGAAATCACCTGTGCAATATATTATTTCTTCCTTAAATGTTTGGTAAGATTGGCTAGTGAGGCTGTGTTCCTGGAGTTTTCTTTGATAAAGATTTTTTAAAATATAAACTCAAGTTTTAGTAGATATAGTATAATTCAAACTTTCTATTTCTTCTTGGGAAAGTTTTGTTAAGTTGTATTTTTCAGAAATTTGTCAATTTCATTTAAGTTACTGGATTTTTGGCATACGATTGCTTATTATGTTTCTTATTATTGTTGTTATGTGGGTAGTGACATCTTCTCTTCATTCCTGCTTCCAGTCATTTGTGTCTTCTTTTTTGTCCCTGATCACATTTGCTAAGATTAATCAATATTATTAACCTTTCCAGACAACAACTTTTTTGTTTCACAACTTCATTTTTTTATTTTCTTAATTTTACTCTTCTGATTATTTTTGCCTTATAGTTAGTTTAGGTTTCATTTGCTTACCTTACAGACTTTCTAAGATATAAACTGAAACAATTAGTTTCTAATTCCCTTTGAAAGGTAAGCATTTTAAAATGCAAATTTTCAATTTCCTTTTTTTTTTCATTTTCTTGTGATTTCTTCTTTGACCAATGGTTCATTTCAAAGTGTGTTGTTTTGTTTTCAAATAGTTCCATAATTTCTAGATATATAATATTTATATATTTATAACTTACATCCTTTGTGTTCACAGTACATTCTCTATGATTTCAACCCTTTTAACTCTATTGTGATTTATTTACTTATAATTCAGTATATGGTCATTTTTTTTATTTATTTTTTTATTGGTTGTTCAAAACATTACAAAGCTCTTGACATATCATATTTCATACACTAGATTCAAGTTGGTTATGAACTCCCAATTTTACCCCAAATACAGATTGCAGAATCACATCAGATACACATCCACATTTTTACATAATGCCCTATTAGTAACTGTTGTATTCTGCTACCTTTCCTATCCTCTACTATCTCCCCTCCCCTCCCCTCCCATCTTCTCTCTCTACCCCATCTACTGTAATTCATTTCTCTCCTTGTTTATTTTCCCATTCCCCTCACAACCTCTTATATGTAATTTTGTATAACCATGCGGGTCTCCCTCCATTACCATGCAATTTCCCTTTTCTCTCCCTTTCCCTCCCACCTCATGTATCTGTTTAATGTTAATCTTTTCTTCCTGCTCCTCCTCCCTGCTTTGTTCTTAGTTGCTCTCATTATATCAAAGAAGACATTTGGTATTTGTTTTCTAGGGATTGGCTAGCTTCACTAAGCATAATCTGCTCTAGTGCCATCCATTTCCCTGCAAATTCCATGATTTTGTCATTTTTTTAGTGCTGTGTAATACTCCATGGTGTATAAATGCCACATTTTTTTTATCCATTCATCTATTGAAGGGCATCTGGGTTGGTTCCACAGTCTAGCAATTGTGAATTGTGCTGCTATGAACATTGATGTAGCAGTATCCCTGTAGTACGCTCTTTTAAGGTCTTCAGGGAATAGTCCGAGAAGGGCAATAGCTGGGTCAAATGGTGGTTCCATTCCCAGCTTTCCCAGGAATCTCCATACTGCTTTCCAAATTGGCCGCACCAGTTTGCAGTCCCACCAGCAATGTACAAGTGTATACTTTTCCCCACATCCTCGCCCCCACATGCACTTGTTGTTGTTTGACTTCATAATGGCTGCCAATCTTACTGGAGTGAGATGGTATCTTAGGGTGGTTTTGATTTGCATTTCTCTGACTGCTAGAGATGGTGAGCATTTTTTCATGTACTTGTTGATTGATTGTATGTC